ATTACTTTGAAACGCGAACACGTGCCCTCCCGATATCTATAACTTGTGAGCTCAGGGCCATTGCTGAGAATTGAAAATGTGTTCTGTAAACTGTTGCGAATAATCTTATAAAACGCGGCTTATTCTCATCGGGGAAGAAAATATCTTTTCTTAGAATATTTGAATAATAAGTACATCTTGAAATATATAAAAATATATATTTTCACTGGGGAAGTCCTTTCGTAACTGTGAGTTTAATATGAAAATTTATCATCGTTATCAATGCTGTTCTCTCCGTAGTCTTATTATAGTCTTCCCAAAAAATATTCGGACAACTGTGCTATCGCTTCGCGTATTTCTTTAAAACTGAGCTCTCGAGACCCTCACCGTTCGGATGAGTCTAGTTGATGTGTTCGGCGAAAAATAAAATTAATTAATTATCACAGTTTATGCCGTGTCGACGCTGCTGTGCGTCCTTGCGATGGATGAAGAGAAAATGCTTGAAAAAAGCATGCCCCGAGAATTGAACCCGTGATCATTACTTCGTCTCGAAGGCCTGCCTTGCTCGGAAATTCTCAACCAGGGAATTGTTTTTCATCTCCTTGTTGTTGTCAGATAGAACAGAAGATAGCATCGATTCCGTACAGTTTCGCGGAGTTTGCTGCGCCGACTGTCGCCTCTGCGGGAGATGCCGAAGTCGATGATGGTAAGGAGAAGAACGATGACGAGGCCGCAGGTAAGGAAAGGAAAAACGGCGAGGAAGTAGAAGGGAATCCAAAAAAAGATGAGGAGATGCGGGATGAGAGAGAACCTAGTAGAAGTGATAAGAAGCGATCTCGAGGTGAGGCTACGGCAGGGGTTGTTCTGTTGCGGATGGAAAAATTCCAAAGCAGTGTTTTGAACCTTGGTTCATGAAGTTGGTATACAGGAGATAAAGTCTAGAAGCGCCACGGGTTCAATAAACCTGTGGCAACCACCCAAACCTCCATATTCCTGAACACAATATAGGTGGTTACAGTAAATCCATAAATAAGGAGTTGAGGGGTTGCTTTGTTGCGGGTGGAAAATTTCCAAGCAATGTTTTGAACCTTGGTTCATGAAGTGTCGTACATTCTGAGAATATGTTGAAATTTAGTGACATCTCTGGATGGGCGCCTATTGTATCAGCATTCTGTGAAGTATAGTGGTCTTTTTTTATTGATAATTGAGTTGGTCATTGAATATAACATGGCATTCTGAGAATGTGTTGGAATTTAGTGACACCTCTGGGTGGGCGCCTATTGCATCAGCATTCTGTGAAGTATAATGGTCTTGTATCTTCGATGATTGAGTTGGTCATTGAATATAACATGATATTCTGGGGATGCTAGCTCTAACCGAAGAAAGGATGAGTGACAGTGTTTCTGCTAGATAACGACAGATCGCCAGAGCGGTCGAGCTCACGCAGTCGTCGCCGTCGTCGCAGCCGTTCGCGTTCCGACACACGGAGGAGATCATCTCGAAGGCCTTCTCGCGATGATGAAGATACCCAACCCGAGAGACATCGTCGTAGTCGTAGAGTATCGTCGTCACGTTCGAGGTCGGGTGGTCGTTATAGGAGACGGAGATCGTCGGCGTCTAGGGAAAGGAGGTATGCCGGTTTATGGAGGATTTGAAAGAGTTATGGTCGCTGAAAGACACTTCCTAGGTCGTAAAAGTCCTCTAAGATTCTGAAGTTGATATATACTACTCGTCGTGTGATATTCACTCAGCCTTCTCTCCCCTTCATAGGTCGTATAGATGATACCCCTAAGACGTCACCATCACTGATATACGTTATTATGGTATTCAGAAATGCCGAAGATGAGGGTGCTGGTGTTGTAGTCTTATTTTCCATACGACCTCTCCACGTGGGAATTTGCGTTGTTGACAATTTTCATGGAAAAAGTCAGTGAAAAGGGTTCTCCGGGTTCTACCTGCATAGTGGAATCCACTTATTTTCGGGTATTAGCGAGGTCTGACGGAAAAATTGAATATTTTGTTTTAGCTGATGGCTCATTGACGTTTTACGTGGAGTGGCCTAAAACTCGGTGAAAAACGCGATATGAAGTAGTCGTGAAATATATTTTTCACTAGTGTTTTTCATATCACTAGGGTCGTGAAACTTCATCTTAGTGATGGTGTGCTTATCTACTAGTGATAGAAGATCATAGTCAGAGTTGAAGAACTCGGGATGAAATTTCGCAATTTCGATTATTTCGAATTTTTTTTGTTAAACGTCAAAGTTGATATCCACTTCGTGGTATTCCATAGGCGTTGGAAATGTTCGGGCGTTTACTGCAACTCTTACGGTGAACGCCCGAAAATTTCGACAGATTGAAAATTGTCAAAAATTGGTATTCGAGTCGTTGGGATGGGAGGAATCAAGATGATCTGCTGAGTCTGAGTCTCGGAAATCGTTATATAAAAGTACCAGCATTACCTCTGTCGAGAGTTTATATCTACACAGAAGCCAGAAATATACGACGCCCCTCCATGGAGGTATATCGTGAATAACAGGGGAGGTTTGCAGTTGTGAAACGCATCTAGATTCAGCATAAGCTGCTGTTCGAACAAGCGCGATGAAACTCTCCATTTCCCTCGAAGGTCCTCTCATCACATCGAATGTCCTTCTGGAACCTCGAAAGGGCCATACGAACGTGTCCGAACGTCTCTCGTCCTTCTAAAGGCGTGGTCCGAGCAGTACAGCAACTGCGGTGTATATCGACTGATGATGAAATAGCATCTAGTGTTCTCACTGAGGCCACAGCAGAGATCGCGACAAGCATCAGTGTTTGTTTGCCGATAGAAACCTTAAAAGTGGTCCTTCAAACCTGTATAGAACATCCCTCCGACCTACGGGAAGGGGTCATCACCGCGATCGCTGCTCATGCCATTCCACGACTTGACATTGAAGACTTGGTCGTACTCGCAACGGATGCGGAAATCGTCGACCGAAAGCTCAACGCCCCCATTTTGGGAGCAACTGTGAAGGTGCTCCGGGGAAAGGGGGCGAAGAAACTCAAATCTGGTTTGACCAGTGAGGAAGCGGCAAACGAAATCGTCAAGGAGATATCTGCCGGCCCATGGGACGCTGATTTTGCTAAAGCAGTTATCAGCAGTGATGGATTCCTCTCATCTGCGAGTGGAAATGAAATGATAAGTAAATTGGTGAACTCGATATTCGAACTGGAGGACACCGATTTGGCCGTGAAAGTCGTGGTGAATCCCGCGCTCACTATGCGAGTTCGATGGGTTTTCGTCCAGCATCTAATCGAAAAATACAGCTCAGCCGACCGAGCCGTGGAGCTTCTCAGTTTTGTAGCAAAATCCAGAGCAGTGATCGTACGTCAGCTGCGAGCACTCCGGGCTGTCTCTGGAATACACGTTATTGAAGCTCTGGTCGGCCTTGACGATACGGTGGTGATGAAGACTTGCGCGGAAACGGTCGTTCGAATGGTCCGAAGTCTACATAGTATTGCGCTCAAACGAACTATCCATTGGTACGCCACCTTTCCGAACCGGGACGCACACTTCAGGAAGTGGCTGGGGGCAAATCTGAGTCGGCAATTAGGGAGAATGGAGGGGCCTCGAGTGAGAAACTTCCTATCAACCGTAGCTGTGAAGGCTGATGGACACCTTGTCCTCGATCCCATCATCAACTCGGGCGAGATCTCCTGTCCGCTCATGTTCGACGCTCTCGCGCAAGCTCTAATGCGACCGGGTCTGCCTACAGCGACCGTAGAGAGGATCGCTTCTCGTCTTGTGGACTCCTGTGACTGTAATTCTACGGAGAAATGGGACTCCTTGGTGCTGGTCCTCCCAGCAGAGACGCTACCTTGTCTGGCTTTGTGCACTGCCGAAAGATTTCCCCACCAGCCACAGCGAGCTTCGGTAGTGGTCGAGCGAATGCGGAAGATCCTCGAGGGCCCAGGCGGGGAGAATCACAGAGGCCCCTACACCACTGCTGTCGCCCGACTGTCGGCGCTCGGCTACTCTTGTGACGGCTGGAGGGACCTAGTTTGCCCTGAGAATCCTCTTGCTCAAGTCGTTGGTCTCTCGAGCAAGGTAACTCTAGCAAGGGCTCAAGGAGGTCATCGTTGCGAAGGCCTTGAGGGGCCTCTAGTGACAGAGCTCAACCTACAAGTTGACAAGGAGGTGGCTGGTCAGGAGTGGCTCGGCGAGTTCCCACCCGTCCTACCGTGTGGAGACTTGCACGATGCCGAGTGTAACCTGGTGGAACTGATGGAGGTCTACAGTCCCCATCGTCTCTGGTTCGCCAGGAGGTGTCTCGTCGCAGCGTCAATGGTCGCCTCTCGAGAACTGACCAGCGCCCCGCTCGTCTCCTTCATCACGAGGAAGAGCCCTACAGGAGAAGCTCATGAAATATGTGTACGACACGACGTTGGTTATGTAGCCGCCGTCGTGGACCTCCTCGCCACCTCGTTCGAATCGGGTGAGAAAAACGAAGCGCTCTGGTGGAGCATCTTTGCTCGGCTATTCGACTGTTCTACAACGTCCGAACGCACTCTGAAGATTCTCACCGAGATCCTCGATAAGATGCTGCCACTGGAGAGCACTCAGTGCGCTTTCCGAACTCTCGAGAAGTTAGCTCTGGAGTCCTTCATGGACACAGAAAGCTGTCGAAGGAGTCGCTGGGTAGCGCAAAGTCTTCACACAATCTACCACGTTGCGATGAGGTGCGGGAAGAACGAAAATTCATCTTGGCTGGAGGACAGGAGGCTGTTCATTGTTCATCTCATAAGAACGGTGTCATTAGACCTATGCCCCGATGCCTTACTATTGGTGTTTGAATGCGCGATGATGTTCGGCGCGAGCTGCCAACACTTGAGGTGCATCGCAGAGGCCGCGGTCGAGGGCTGTGAGGATGCTGATCGTCAGACGATGAGGTGGGACCTTCGGAGGCGTATGCAAGGCTATGAGAATAGAGGCTTTATAATCGAAGGATTGGAGGCAATCGAATCAGATACCCTCCCCTACTGGGTCCATCTCTCAAGCGATGCCGTCGAGTCGTGAGCAAAAGGGTCATCCAGTGGCTATGCGACTTGGCGGAGCAGACCAAAGAGGAGATCGTCGAGAACGACACGGATGGAGGCGTTGGCTCTCTTGTAGACAGAGTTGCTAAGTCGGCACTGACTCGTCTGCGGGAGGCAGTTTGGCGTCCTTCGTAGAGCCACCTACCAAATTCTCATCCAAGGATCCTTCCTCAAGTCGTGCTTGTCCTCTGCTGATGATGGGCTCCTCCTGGCGGTCATGAAACCTTTGCATCGTTTTATCGGTAGGGCACCACTACTGTTATGCGGTTACAGCTCCATTGATATTACTTGATATATTTCAGATCACTTGGTTAGTCTCATGAAGCAAGAGGATACGCGTGCTCCGCGATTGTTGAGGACGGCTCGTTGTCTTCATGACAAGATTGACAAACTCCTCCTGGTTGATACCACTTCTAGGATGGATGCATCTAGATTAGCTCGGGTCGGTCCGTAGTTGTACTTGGCGACTCCAACTCGGAGTTGTTCGGAGAGTCACTGCTTACTCTAATCACTCATCGAAAGAGTATTTCAGCGAAAAACTAAACAACTTTTAATGATGACTATTAAATAAGTATAATATTTCAGCGAAATAACTGCTTCTCATCTCCTTTAGGATGTGATAAGTTTGCGATTTTCCCTCCGGGCCCTGGCTAATATAACGCGCGATTCCAAGCATACGAGTGGTGCGATGGAAGTTCGGAACGGCGAAGTTGACTCGACACTCTCCGCTGCCTCGCCCTGTCCCTCTCCGAGTTCATCCTCAACATATCGCCGAGGATTCGGGATTCATCCCCACCCATCAGCGACGAAGCGACGGCGTTTTTCGTATCTTCCTACGCCGTGCACCGCTCGACGATAAAGATCGTTTGATGACAGCATATCAATGATGGCATGAATGTCACGTTTGTGGCAAGTGCTATTTTCTCGCCATTTCTGCATAGTCGCGTTCGGAAAATGCCGCAATTGACGCCGCTTCACTTTCATATTGTAAGGGAAGCTGTGTGAGTCAAACTAATCTCGGCATTATGAAATAAAAATGAATCACTTCAAGTAATGGTATGCGAGTCAGATCGCTCATAAATCGTCAATCATTGACTTCATCAATTGCCATCAAATGTCAAAGTTTGACAATGACGGCTTGGTGGGGCAAGCTCCATCCGACAAAGCTCCGTTGGTGAGAGTCTCACCATGAAAGCAGGTGATCTATTCCCAAGTATGAATCGCGCGGCCACCGATCGAACGATCGCTGCCAGGACCTGGATCAACGGGACGTAGCCTCCGCGTACGTAGAGCGCGGCGTAGGCAACACTTATAGTCACTGTGCCCGGCCAATCTTTGTTGTTGATGTCTCAAGCGGCACCAGTGTTCTCTAAATCGGGGATCCCGGACTTTCGCGGAAACTTCCTCTTCATTTTCTTGAGAGCGATATTTCTCAGGATTGACAGAGGTTATCTCGCCCTGTGGCCAAAAACTCATTGGCATGATGAAAGTACACAGTTTAAACGGATAAAGCTGAGCCCTCGAGAGCTAATGTGCATCGATGCGAGTCTAACTAAGCCGTGTTGTCGTAGTAGGCCTTGGACTTAAAACTCACACACACACACATTTCTCAGTAGCCTTTTGCTCAGTGTGGTATTCCGATGTAGAAGTCCTGCCATTCATCCCACGCAGCCTCTCAAAAGTCAAGATGGTGAAGGAGATACTTCATCCTACTAGGATGATCCCAAGCTGGAGCCTCTAGACTGAGGAATCTCTACTAGAGATGATCTCGGTTTCGTTCACACCGGACCCTCCGGTGAATCGTCATTTCCCACTCGGTGATTCAGGAGGGCGGTCTACCATAGACTCTGATCCAACGCGGAAAGAATTGCCAACTTCAAGTTGGGATAGGTATTTATTGTCACAACGATGTTGCGTTGACCATGAGCCATCCACACCTATGCACTGCCTTTCAACGACACAACAATCAACGAGTTTGCAATAGAAACAACGTTATGAGAAACAATACAGTGGAGGCTGTCGGATTCACTTCTTTTGACTGCTTCTATCCATCATTGGTGAGTCACGGTAACTGACAGAATAGGAAATCTACAAGCCGGATCGCCACCAAGAGCATACCGTGTGTCGAATTGGGGATCAGTTGTGAAGGGCCAGTGATCTTTAATACATCGGGACCATACCTATGTGAAAAACAAAGATATCTCAACAAGGGACAGCGAAAATTTATGATAGTGTGAATATATATCTTCCGTTGTGATGCAGCATTAACCCTCAAACATCATACGAAGATCCAGGGGATAGTAGGTCTCAACAAATGTCGGCTTATGTTAATGTCATAGTACATCTATTGTAAGATACGGAAATGTTCTAAATGCCCCTTTCTGTGTAAACCAAGATCGCTGAATTCAACGAGTAATAAGATATCACAGACGCCCGCCTCCAAGTCAACAACACTCTACGCCTACTCGTTCGATCCCATTTTTGGCGTCCTTTTCATTCCCACTGTGCGCTGTTAAGGAACGCAGAGCCGCGTCTTTCACACAACGTTGCTTCCGAGACCACATATGATTCCCTGAAAAGCAGCAAACCATCAACAGACCATATCTACCATTGCAAATGCTACAGATTTTCGGGAAGCCGATCTCGCCGTTAATATCGCTGCGTATTCCACATGTATAATTTCGAGCGTGCGTCCGTGCGAATGATTTCTCCTCAACCCAACAGATTCCCACTCGACGACAGAAGCAATCGAAATCCCAATGGTCAGGTATAGGAAAATCTCATGCGAGCCTTCCCGAACGATATAGCATGGGAAAATACCGAGCCTGGGACTCGAACCGACGACCCATCACGACAGACACTCCAAACTCATAAATTTTCAGCGCGGATTCCGCTGAGCACGCGACAGCCAGCGAGCCTCACGTCCCGCGTAAGGAACAGTTGCCAACTCACCCAGTGGATCTTCCCCTATATAGTCCGTCCACTTCGTCCATAGCTGAAAACAACCACTGCTGCTACTCCTACAGGACATTATGAACCCACCTCACACTCCCCACTAAGATTAGCCGCTCTGATCTCCGTACATGCTATATGATCGATATTTGCAGTATCGATTTTAGCCCGGGCGAAGTCAAACGCATGGACGAGCTCATGTGCCAATATACGACGAAATTGGAAGGGGTTCCAAAAATGATTTCCGCACATCCAAACAGTATTCTTCGATGGAGAAAACCCCGCACCTGCTGTACTCATCAACAGTCTTCCTGCACATAGCCAACTACATTCGGTGGTGACAGTTAGAGAATTTCCAGAAAATTTTGAGAAATTAGCGTTCAACTTTTCTAAATTAAATTCTTTGTGAGGAAAATCCCGAGTTCAGCTGAGGATAGCAAACATATATTCCCCCAACACTTTCTCACTGTGAGTAACATCGTGGGGACAGCGAACACAAACAAGATCGACTGGGGCGTTCATCGCGCTGAGGGCATTCAGGAGGATATCCACTTTCCACCACCTAACACAGACACACACCGGTTTGGAAAACTATATAAATTTTCAACCACATGTCTTAGTGACAATGTGAAAATTCTTAGGAAATATTGGGAAATTCTTGTTGATTTCCGTACATTTCGTGTGTGAACTTTCGTAATCAGTCAGGCACCTCCTGAACTCAGCTGCTGAGGAATCCACACTTATTCCTCCAACAAAGGAGTTTCACCCGTTTAACGCGGAGTGACTAATACTCAATGTAAAATGGTTGGACGTATATCTTGCTTACCGCGACCGCTAACACGATTGATCTCCCAGAAGTGAACAATTGTGAAATATGCTTTTCAACCGTGTTTTTCATATCACTAGGGTGGTGAAACCCGACTGAATATTACACTTTCAGTGACGACGATACAATTATACGCATCTATCCTAGCCCTCAGATGCTTGTCACACGCGTTCTCTTTTCTAGAAAGATGTGATGATATTTACTTGCGCTTCTCCTCTTTCTCAAGTTCATTATCATTTTGATAAAACTTTCAGGGTATGCCAACTTCATCTTCTGGTTCGCCTGGGTCCACCAAAACTCCTTATTAGCCCAGCTATGATTACTTTTTTACGTATCCATCACAAATTGATAACCATAACTTATTCAACACATATGATATTCGCAATTACATTTCCCCACTCACCCGAAAGCTCTCCTGCTATACGCCTCACACTTCTTCCTATCAAACCATGATAGACCCGGATCACAACGATGCTCATCCATACGAATTTGGATATCCCCCGACACCGATGAGGATGACGCTGTGTCGTACGAAGGGGCGTAAGATGGGCGCCACATATGAAAACACTACGAAACAGAACTTCTACGAAATCAGTAGTGGTTTGTCATAAACTCCTCGACAACACTGGAGCTTCACCACCCTAGTGAAATTATATTTCACGACTACTGCATATCGCGTTTTCACCGAGTTTTACGACGCCACTTCACGTAAAACGGGTTGTTGTGAAACTCCATTGATATCATACCGTATCGTAATACTAGGATATTATTTTCGATCTATCTTTTCCCTGTGAAATATTTTTCCATTTTTTGGTATTTTTTCTTATACCATTTTATATAATACTCTTCATCACTTAACAAATTTGTACATATAAAAACCCAGATACCCCAAAACCATTTTTCACAACGCTATCAATGCTAGCCGCTCTACACATATCTTTAGGTTGAAACAACAAGATACAAAACATGTCCACTTATGAGCACTAAACTCAACATATCGATACACTAGGATAGGAAACTATCAAACAGTCGTAATTTCAGTAACGTTGGACAGTGACTTTCATCATCCTTACGCCTCCCCCTTCGACACGAGCTCCCGTATATACTTGAACCTTGCCACGCACTCCTTCTTAGTTTTCCCCGGCACCTGATATCAATATCATATAAAACCACAAATTTCGGTGTGGGAAAATATTTTCGCTTCCAAAACTTGCATATAAATTCTCCAAATTTCCTTCAAAATTATCACCAACACATGCAGTAGACCACGCCGAGAAATTCGCTCACATCATCTGCAATTCTCCTCCATCGTTCGTTCGCTCCCAACGATGCAGCGTGAGTCGCCAGCGCTTTCTCCAGAGCCTAGCAAACGAACAACGACACCATCATCACCACTTCTTCTAACACTGGAGTTTCACAACAACCCGTTTTACGTGAAGTGGCGTCGTAAAACTCGGTGAAAAACGCGATATTCGCGGTGATATGCAGTAGTCGTGAAATATATTTTTCATATCACTAGGGTGGTGAAACTCCACCAATATAAAAACAAGTACGCGCATGCTCAACTACACTTGTACAAATTTGAGGAAATTTCGGCAAATTCTCTTTACTTTCTTCACATTCCCACCTCCCTCCCAAATAAACTCCTCTAGTGAGTGAGGAAACTCCTGAGCTCAGTTGAGGAAATCCAAAATTCATTCCAACACCGATACGCCTATTACTACACATAGATAGTAAGCCTAATACTAGGAGTATTGTCAGTTTCCTTACTAATCATTCACACTGATAAAACATCACACAATTTCCAACAGTGTACTTCATCACTGTTGGAGGAATATATCTTCGACCTCCTCCTCCTCAGCTGAGCTAAGCAGCCGGGTAGAAGTGTACAGAAACCAACAAGAATTTCCCAAAATTTTCATATTATCATCACCAACATATCTTTTCCCCCCATACTTCAAACATAACTACTTTCTGTTGCGTCGGCGTCCAATCTTCAGGAGAGCTACTCGGTTTTTCAACCTGCGGGGAAGGTGAAGTAGTAGTAAGAGTCGGCTTCGGCACATCCTGATAATCAAAAAACAGTCAATGTATGCTTCGAAAATACGTTTGCTTTCTCCATCGAAATTTCCAAAGCTATTCACATCTACACACAATTCAACTGTACACAAACCAACAACAATTTTCGCAAAAAAAATATTCATTTTTCCTATCAACACGAGTATTTTATTTTATTCTTTTTTCCCTCGCATACCATAAATTCACGACGACATCATCATACAGGTTTCCACGACAGATCACACAATTGTTTCCCACCTAGTGAATTTCGAAATATATTTTTCACGGGTGAAACTCATTCATCATTCTAACACCAACAACAACGTTATATACCACCTTCGAGGCCATAGTCGCCTCCTGTTTTTCTTCAGCCTTTTGATTTTTCAGATACTCAGGAGTAGCCATCAGCCTCGTCTGCGCTATCACCTACATATAAAATACCACAACTTCATCATAACAACATACAACGTATAAACCAACGCTGAAAAGCCGAATGAAATTACTCTCATTCGAGGCCTATATCGTTTTCATATTTTCCCGCAAAATTCAATAAAATTCGAGAATTTTCGAAATTTTCGAGAAAAAAAACATTTTTCTTGGGAAACCTTGTCTATTCCATCATCATCACCTCATTAAAAGTATACCGCATTTTCTGCGAAAAATGGCTAACTTTTTTTCCCGAAAAACTGAACCCGTGCAATATTCGAGTGATATAACTTCACTACCATATATGCTACTGAAAAATTTCCTCAAAATTTCTAGCCCTGCGTAACGTCCTTAGACCCTTTTTCATACCACTAGATTACCTCATCAGCAGTCCTATTAAACCCAGCACTTTGTAAGAACTGAGCAATAGCTTTCCACCTCCCTGCATACCCAACTTTATATTTCTGCTGCCCTTTAGCCAACATATGGACCTCATCCAACGACCAAGGAGCTCCAACCTTCCCTGAAACCAATAGGTCCCCGGTTCAATCCTCGGGCACGGCACCTACCATGTTTATTAACTTTAGCTGCCGCACTCGCGACATGTTTCACACTCTTCTTCTTCGCTTGAGCAACGTGCTCTAATGCCACGTCAAACCTAGAGAGAATTTGATAGAACACGAAAGTAAACTTTCATTATAATTTTCTTTCGATTTCATAAATTCATCAATTATTGGAGTTTCACAACAACCCGTTTTACGTGAAGTGGCGTCGTAAAACTCGGTGAAAAACGCGGTGATATGCAGTAGTCGTGAAATATGTTTTTCATATCACTAGGATGAAACTCCATTGATAAATTTCAACACAAAAAATTAAAAAATTTCTTTAAAAAATGAATACCACACTTAAATTCTCTTTCGATTTCATAAATTTTACAAATTTCAAAATTTATCAATTTACTGATAAATTTCAACAAAAAAGATTAAAAAAAAATTAAAGGAATACCACACTTCAAAAAAATTATTACGGATGATAATTAAATTATTTAGATATTTTTCAAACGCCATACGATGATAAAACTCCTATTCTGTGGAAAAAATATTCCGGAAACCATATTTCTTTTTTATTTCTAATTCGCTCTTTCCTCATTCGAACTTTTTCCTCAAATTCATAAATTTCATTCACAAATTTCAATTTTCTCAACGCTCTTCAAAAATCAAATTTTCATTCACAAATTTGAACTTCTGAAAAAAAAAACCACACGGGAATCACATTTTTTCTCAAAAATTTCCTCTTTTTTCCCTGCTGAATATCTGCGATTAAAAATTAGCCAATTAGCACACACAGTGAAAAAAATTTCTTTGCAAAATTCGATAAAAAACTCCGCTTCCCCACAAGCTACATTGCTTTCAATTTCCCACCATCACTAGCCAAGGTCTCAGCCTTCGCCGCGAACTTCTCCAACTGTGGAGGCGTAAGGTCCAGAAGTAACTACAGCAGAACGGTAGAGCGCCCCTCTCTCCAGCAGCCAACCCAGGTTCTAATCCACCCCTCCGGAAATTCATCATACCGTATGATAAATTTCAGATAATGATAAAAGTATAATATAATGATATAATTTCAGATGAAATAAATTTCTATATGATAAAAGTTTCAGAAAATAATTTTTTTTCAGAAATTCTTTGATAAATTCCCATAGAAAAATTCTTCATATATCACCATAGAATCGAGTGGACGTAGACAAATAAAATTCCTCCGCAAAAACCAACCCCTCCTTTTCTCACATTCTTCAGCGTCTCCTGATCCACCACATCACAGTTACTCCTATAAGTACTACGGACACTCTGAGAGAGAAAACCAACCATCAAACTCTCGACGATTAGACAAAAGCGCGCGCCCGAATAATCGATATCATTACATATCCACAGAAATCGAGCCCCTGTACGTGAGTCCTACTTGTCGTATTTTCTTCAACCTCTCTCGTTCCTCTTTCTCCTTCCTTTTATCCTCTTCTTTCCTCTTCTCCAGCTCGGCCTCTTCGGCCTCCTTACGTCGTCTTTCCGCTACTTCCGCTCTGAACATGACGATAGCAATAACAACAACAACAACAACAACAACAACAACAACAACAACAACAACAACAACAACAACAACAACAACAACAACAACAACAACAATTCACCCGTTCAACGTGAAGTAGCGTATTACTCTGTGAAAAACGCGATATTCGCGGTGATATGCAGTAGTCGTGAAATACGTTTCTCACTAGTGTTTTTCATATCACTAGGATCGTGAAACTCCCATAATATTAATAATACCATTTTTTTACACAACCACCCAACAAAGTAATACTCAATTTTTTCCCTCCGCTTCTCCTCCTTCTCCTTCTCTTGGAGCTCCTTCACTCGTCGCTCATCCTCCTTTTCCCTCAACAGCCGAGGATCAAATCTAACATATACAAAGACGTTCTAATCGATTCGAAAGAACACAACTCGACACAATTGTGGTATTGTGACACACAGAAAATCATCATATTCCACGTACGTCTTCAATCAGCTTCTCATGAAAAATATAAACATTTTCCCCATCGTTATTATCAAACCCTAGGGAGGGCGTAGTTTCTTAGATGGGCCCCTCATCAGCTGCTCTACTATAATGCAGTTTCTCATGCGGGTAATATCCTCAGATTTAGAATGCAACGCGTTGACCAAGCATTTGAATTCACATCACGATTTGTCAGAATTGTGGTATTGCTTCCAGAAACCTATAATATTCCCACAGGGAGTTTTCCATGTATGTCTTCAATCAGTTTCTCATGAAAAACATAAACATTTTCCCCATTGTTATTATCAAACTGTTATTTCTCAAAGTTAGATGAACCTCTATTACGATGCAGTTGAAGTAATATGGTGACACGCATTTGCATCAACCATTCGAATTCAAATCACGATTTATCAAAATTGTGGTATTGTCCCCAAGAACCTATAATATTCCCAGAGGGGGAAGGGAATTTCCCACGAATAGCTTTCCATATAAGAACAATTTCATCCTTGGAAAACGCGATCGCTCAAAACTAGATTGCACGCATGCACATATTACTGCATAGCCGACTCTACTAGTTTCCTTATTCTCGATGCCTCAGCCGTCTCGTATTTTCGTCGAATCTACCAAAATATCCAAGGTTACCGCATAAAAGATTCAAAACAGGTCCAAACCCGACCCTACCCTCTGATTCTGCCTCTCTACCCATCTTCGCTCCTCACGACAACTAGCATCAGCGACATCATACTCATCGTGTTGGGAGAAATCCCGCCACGAATCGAAGTTCATCCAGAAGTGATAGAATCGCTTAACCTAACTCGAAAGCGCTCAAAAGATTTCCCATATAAATGATACTCAGAATTATTCATTATAATTATAATATTTAATCAATAATATCCAATAATATTATTTAAGTTAATCGATTAATAGCCAATAATATCCCCATCAATAAGAACTATATCAATAATATTCACTGGAGTTTCACCCACCACCCTAGTGATATGAAAAACATATTCCACAACTACTGCATATCACCGCGAATATCGCTTTTCTCACGGAGTATTACGCCACTTCACGTAAAACGGGTTGTGTCCTAAAATGGCGCTGAAATTTTGTATCTAGACGCCTCTTACCACTGCTGCAAAAAAAAACTCGCATTCCTCAGCTGATGAGCTCAGCACCTTCCGGAGTTTATAAACCAATTAGGAGAATATGCAACTAGTGCACAAAAACTAACAATCATTTTCCAGAATCTTCTCAGAAACTTGTTATTGCTATCACCAACACATGTGGTTGACCATGTTCATATTTTACCATAAAACCTCCAACACATTGCTCTGATAGAGTGGTTTGCCACAGTTTGTGATTCTTAAGTACCCTTTGTTGTGCGTAGTCGTGTGCGCACAGTATCTTGCGCAGTACTGATCGATTATCCATAGCTGTTCGGTATTGCACGCACGCACAGGTGGTACATATGTTATACCCCACTCTAAGTGGACTAGCGTTGCTAGTGAGCTTGACGGTACACACATTGCTACATCTGGTGCCCAGACCCAGGACCAACATGCCGTTCAAGCTCGAATCTGTATTGGAACCCTATTCTGGTGGTGAAAACGACTTCGCTCTTTGGCTGCAGGAGTTCGAGACGGTGGCCGAGGCTTCTAAGTGGACTATTAAGCAAAAGTCACAATATATCGTACTTTTTATGAAGGGCTCGGCCAAAGAGATCGCTAGGCAAGCCCTGGAGGAAGTTGAGGGCGATCCAGCTGGTGCCTATGCTCATGTGGTTAGGGCCCTGGATAGAGCGTACTCGCTCAAAACTCACGAGGCGTGGAAGCGTCTGACTCGCCGTGAGTGGCACAAGGAAGATAGTGTTGATGGTGTATTAGCTGAATTCCGCCGCTACCTTAGAGTGCTAGGGGTTACTACCACAGTGGCTGCTGAGAACATCCTTCGTGAAAGCCTGATTGCCACCCTGCCCGAAGACGTGCAGAAGGCCATCCGGGTGTTCGAGGAGGATGGGCGCCAGTTGCCTTTGGCTGATGTTGTTGCTAAGGCTCGAGCTCAGCTGAAGACTTACTCTGGTGAGAAGAAGCTTGCTGCGGGTGCTGTCACTGGTGGTCAATACTGTTATATCTGTAAGGCAACCGGCCATATTGCTGCAGAGTGTCGAGAGCGCGGAGCGACACGTCCTACCTCGAAGCCCAAAG